ATGAGGATCGAAATTTTGTCGCGAAATAATTACGATAAATGGAGGATACAGACAAAATTATTTCCCCCTCCTAAAACCTAGCCATTTCAACCGATTGAGCTCAAACTTGGCATACATACGTATTTTCGCGAGTGGGTTAAAGAAAAATTATAGCGAATCCGATTGGAATTGAATTGAATATAGTTATATTCTAAAAATGCTAAGAAGCTGAAACTTGGTACACATATTTAATTTCACGAAAAATATAGCTAAACCCTTTGAACTTGACTTCAATATTCTTTCGACACATAAACTCAAAATTCTTTAACAATGTTTTAGCCAACCATCTCAAATTTTGTACATACAGGGTGTCCCATTTTAATCTATCAGGCGAAATAACTTTTAATCAGTTGATTTTACAAAAAAATGTTTCAGACAAAAGTTGTTGTGCTCAGAGGGGGACATCCAGTGACAAACTTGAATTTGACCTAAATTAGGACGTTTCATGGTCAACTCTTTTTTTTTAAATGGAACCACCTACTTTTTATGCCGGAAATCGATAGAGCAGGAAATTCCACGTCGAAATCGTTGATGCACTTTTTTTCGATAGATCGACCTATTTAGGACAAATAGGTCATTTAATTTTTATTGTATTAGGGGGAATAACTTTAAACTAATTAATTTCACAAAAATATGTTTCAGTCAAAAGTGGTTGTGGTTAAAGGGGAATATTCAGTGATGACCTTGAATTTGTCCTAAATGACCTAAATTAGGTCATTTCAATATCAACTCATTTTTTTAATGGAACCATCTACTTTTCATGTTATAAATTGGAAGAGCAGGAAATTCCACGTTAAAATCATCAAAGTACTTTTTTTGACAGGTCAACCTATTCAAGTTAAATAGGTCATAATCAATTTGACCTACAAGGCCTTGGTTAGGTCTAGTCTAGGTTAAATAATTTTTCATGAAGAAAGATCAAGTTTTTATGCAAGGAATCGTCAGGGCAAGAATTTTTATGTAAAAAACACTAATGTCATGTTTTTAGGTCAAATAGGTCATATTTAATTTCTTATTAAAATGTTTTTTGTATTAAAAGCATTTTATGCAGCTCTTGGCTAGTTTTTAGAAAACTACTCAGAACTCAGCACGTGAAGGTGGCTGCACATCGAGTTCCACCTTCTCCTCACCCAACCGACCTACCTTAACGAAGGAGTTTTTTTTGTATTTTTTTTGCAAAAAGTGAGTCACTAATTCAAATTAGTAAACATTTTTACTAATTTAGATTTAGAGAGTGACATTTTTATTAAATAGAAAAACTTAAAAAAAATTAAAAAATAAAATACAAAAAAAAACTCTTTCGTTAAGGTAGGTCGGTTGGGTGAGGAGGAGGTGGAACTCGATGTGCAGCCACCTTCACGTGGTGAGTTCTGAGTAGTTTTCTAAAAACTGGCCAAAAGTTGCATAAAATGCTTTTAATACAAAATACAGTTTAATAAGAAATTAAATATGACCTATTTGACCTAAAAACATGACTTTAGTGTTTTTTACATAAAAATTCTTGCCCTGACGATTCCTTGCATAAAAACTTGATCTTTCTTCATGAAAAATTATTTAACCTAGACTAGACCTAACCAAGGCCTTGTAGGTCAAATTGATTATGACCTATTTAACTTGAATAGGTTGACCTGTCAAAAAAAGTACTTTGATGATTTTAACGTGGAATTTCCTGCTCTTCCAATTTATAACATGAAAAGTAGATGGTTCCATTAAAAAAATGAGTTGATATTGAAATGACCTAATTTAGGTCATTTAGGACAAATTCAAGGTCATCACTGAATATTCCCCTTTAACCACAACCACTTTTGACTGAAACATATTTTTGTGAAATTAATTAGTTTAAAGTTATTCCCCCTAATACAATAAAAATTAAATGACCTATTTGTCCTAAATAGGTCGATCTATCGAAAAAAAGTGCATCAACGATTTCGACGTGGAATTTCCTGCTCTATCGATTTCCGGCATAAAAAGTAGGTGGTTCCATTTAAAAAAAAAGAGTTGACCATGAAATGTCCTAATTTAGTTTAGCCCTAGGGGTGAGTACTTTAACAACGAAGTATTGTTAGGTTTTTTCAAAAACTGTCGGAGAGGGAGGGGGTTGAATTATTTTAAAAAATTTAAACAGTGCTCTCTAAATTTAAATCAGCGAAACGTCGCTAATTTGCAGCTATAAGTATGCAGCTGATTCAAACAGCGTATATACACTAATGGAATAGTTTATATGCGCTAATTATCATTGTATATACGCTGCTTGAATCAGCTGCATACTTATAGCTGCCCATTCAGCGATTTTCCGCTGATTCAAATTTAGAAAGTGAATTTTTGAAGACTTGTAACTTTTAAACAGAAAGAAAAAAAAAATTTGTCCTGTATGTTTTCGAAAGGTTTTTTCCTGCTCTTTCGAACCCCTTTCTCATCCCACCATGTCTAATTCTTAAGTCAACCATTTTTATTTATTATTATTATTAACATTCATATTTTTACATTATGTTTATTTTACATACATATTTATATTTAATTAATACTTAACACAATTAAAACAAGTATACCTTGAATGAAAATTTTTCACGGTCCGAGGAACTGAACCCGGGTTGCGCGCACCAGAAGCAGTAACGTAGATCACTATGCCAACCTGACTCAATTGACGATTTTCAAAAACTCCTATATTTAAGTTTCATATCCATTTGGAGAGAAATATTTTCTTGGATCAAGAATACGGGATTTGTATTGAGTAAAAAATTCATTCAAAGCAAATGAATAAAACTTTTTGATTCAAGAAATGAAAATTCTTTAGACAATATTTTATTATTTTGCTTAAGAACATAATATTCTTGATTGAATACTTTTTGGTACTTCGGGAAAATAAAATATTGGGTTGCGATAATAACATATTTACTTCTGCCAAATACTAAATTCTTAATTCAAGAACTATGCGTTAATCAAGTTAAAACAAGTATTTACTTATATTAATATTCGCATTTTCTTGACTCAAGACTATATTAGCGCTGAATTAAATAAAAAATATTTTCAAGGAAACAAAAGAATGATTTCATTCAAGATTATATCACTATTTCAACTGAAAAAATAAATTATTTCATTTAAGATAATATAATATTATTTCTAGAAATTGAATGTTCTTGAAACAATATAATATGAAAATGCTTCAAGTATATTAAACACTTGGATTGATTAAAGTTTAATTCAAACAATATAAATTTTAATCAAGTTGAAACAAGTATCAACTTCTATTAATCTTTTCATTTTCTTGGATCAAGACTATGAGTATTAGATGAAGTAAAAAGTTGTTCCGAAGGAAACAACAAAACGATTTGACCCAAGAAAATAAATACTCAACGTAAATCACTTGACATGAGAAAATGATATTCTTGATTCAGTACTTTTTCGGTTCTTAACGCAGGTCAAACAGTTCGCTTGAAACAGTAAGATATACTTACTTGTATGAAACTCATATTTTTTTATTTCAAGAACATTGCTCAATGCTCAAAATTACTTGACTCAAGAAAATAAATTTCTTCCTATAAGAAAATATCGTCTTGTTTCAAGTAAAGTACCTCAAGGAAATGCATTTACTTGATTCAATTAACTTTTTTTCACTATATATGGACTATATTGAATTAGAAGAATTTTTATAAACAATTTCCATGTTAGCCAATTGTTTATTAACAATACACTTATCCAAAGTACTTCATATAGATCTCGTTGGATGCGAAATTATGTCAACATTTATTTAGTAACGTCAGAATTATAATAACTTTATTTGTTTATAAAATATATCATTTTTTATTAATCTTAATAGTTTATTATTTATATAAAAATTATAAATAATATATAAGCAGAATTGTATATTTCATAAACAAATAAAGTTATCGTAATTCTGACGTTACTAAATGAAAGTTGATATAATTCCGCATCCAACGAGATCTATATGAAGTACTTTGGATAAGTGTATTGTTAATAAACAATTGGTTAACATGGCAATTGTTTATAAAAAAATCCTTTAATCCAAAATAGTCCATATAGGGCTCGTTGGATGTGGAATTACGTCCACTTTCAATTAGTACCTTCAGAATTGCAATAACTCTATATATTTATGAAATATTTCATTTTTTTAACATTAATTAATTAATTAATATCTCGAAAATAACAAAAAAGGACATTTCAATATTTTTTATGGTAAAAATACACATTTTTAGCTTACAAAAAAAAAAATAAAATGGACCAAACTTAAAAAAAAAGTCAAAAATGTTTAATTTTTAAAAAAAGGGTTAAAATTTGAATTTTTTGAAAAAATTTTTGCACCGTTCGAAAGAGCAAGAAAAAACTTTTCGAAAACATACAGGACAAATTTTTTTCTTCTTTCTGTTTAAAAGTTACAAGTCTTCAAAAATCCACTGCGTTTAAATATTTCAAAAAACCTTAACCCTCTCCGACAGTTTTTGAAAAAACCTAACAATACATTGAGCCAGGACTATCAAACAATTTTTGATTACAACTTTTTTTTACATATTTTTTAAAAAACGTTTTGGGATAGTAATTTTATGATACTAAGGAACATTTTCAAGCAAAAAAAATTTTATTTTTTTGGAATTCTAAACCAGAAAGTCCCCTTAAAATAACTATACCAATTTGTGTCATAAATTTATGGATAATTTTGTATATGACTTTACGCGAATTCCTATACAGAGGTCTTGAAACTGAACTTATGTATTTTACTATGTGAAAATTTTCAGTAGGGGAATTAAAATCAAAAATTACATTTTTATAAAAATGTCACTTGCCGCAGATTTTCCGTTGTAGGGAAAATATTATTAACACAAAATTATAGTTGTCATGTACTTCACATGTTTTGTTTGCAAACAGGTTTAGTGATGTTTCGCATTACAATCATTTCCTTCTGAAGTAAGAGTTATTAAAAATTTGTAATTTTTGAATGTCTGTAGAAGGTGGAGATTTCGAAAATGGAAATAAAGGTGGAAACAAGGCTAAAAGAGTAAGGACAACCTTTACAGAAGAACAACTCTCCGTACTGCAAGCCAACTTTCAGCTTGATAGTAATCCTGATGGCCAAGACCTAGAAAGAATTGCACATGTGACAGGTTTAAGCAAAAGAGTGACACAAGTTTGGTTTCAAAATTCAAGAGCAAGGCAGAAAAAACATTTGCATACTGGAAAAATGAAAGGACATGGTACATGGACATTCTTTACAGAAAATATTCTCAAAAATTCACCTAATTAATTTAATAAATTTTATTTTACTTTTTATTCTACAGGCACTAAAATGTCAGTTTCATATATCTGAAGACGGGATATGAAGCCATTCATTTATTATACTCAATGAAAACGGTATCAATGTGTACCCTAAGCTGAAAATGTCCCTGTCACTAGATGTCTCAAATTGACGCGTTTGTGCCTTTTGAATAAATAGTACCATAAGCGACACGGGATAAAAGTCAGCTAAATTTGTTTAAGTTGACATTTGTACCACTCGTTTACGTCTGGGACGTTCTTGACTGACACTACTGCTAAAAACAAATGTCTGTCTTTGGCCCTTTGTTGCTAAGTATATTGTTTATACTTATAATACCATAAAAATTTCAAAATTTTGTTAAAATTATTATTTATTTACACACTGGTCTTCTAGTAAAAACAAATGCGACTAAAATGGATCCAAAATCCGTTACAATAGATTATATGTCCGAAAAAATCTAATTATAAGATTTTACTTGGTATTATATCACATCTGGTCCTAAAAAATATACGATTGTGCATAGGATCGTATATAGTTTCCCAAATAGGAATCCACGTGGGTTCCTTTGTAGAAGTCTATGTGAAAATTTTTAGTTCGGATGTGTTATAATACCATGTAAAATCTAATGATACAATTATTTCGGAAAAAGATCAGCCTGAATTTAAGTTTGTACGAATTTTTCAATAATACAGAAACATTATATTCAAAATGATTTTTGATCCATTTTAGTCACATTACGTTTTACTTGAGAACCGATGTGTATACTATTCATAATTTTATTATTTTTTATTCTTTGCAGCTCATCAGTCGCCTCCAAATTCAATATCATCTTCTGCAGACTTCAGTCGACACATCAATCTACATTTGACGTATTCTTTTCAACATCAGCAGCAGCCACCAAATCAGCATCAAGCTCAATTAAGTCCAACAACATGTAAGAGTCCAACGCCTTCTTTATACCAAAATCATGGTAAGTAAATTTATTAAGTTAGGCTTCCTTTTTTCTATAAGAAATAAAAGTTTCATAATTCGAATTGCAACCAACGTTATAATAGAACTAGCACGTTCTATTTCTAATATAATATAACCTCGCTCCAGTACGTTGGCTACTATAATAGATCCAATTTTCAAGTAATGTTTTATGCTTTTTAGCGCAATGAAATCATCTTTATCGTTAATGAAACTTTATATTGATAATATAAAGTCTAGTTTTATTCTATTTTTATTTTCATTAAAACTTGAAATATAAGATATTACACGGAGAAAATGTAATACCTATATATATATTTTTTAATAAAATTTACTAAAGGTACACACAATTTTGCGCTAAATTGTAAAAAAATCTGTACCAGAACCAAATTTCTCGTAATCCTCTCTCAAATCTGCTAAAACTACTTAAATATTTAAAACAATCTCTTTTCAGGAACGGAACACTCAATGGATGATATATCTCAAGACTCAATGATCTTATCGATGCCGAACGAAGCATGAGAACAAAATTAATTGTAATTACTTGCAAAATGAAATCTTTTTAAATGTGGCAAATAATTTAATATTTGGATAATAGCATATTGAGAAAATGTTTCATTAACTTACTGAAATGTGATAATATACATAATAATCTACTGATTTAAAGACTTTTACCTTTAATATTGATTTTGTTAATTAAAGGAATCAATCATTTTAATTAAACGACAACTTTTCTCGGTGCATTATAAATTATCTTCTAGTCTGAAAGTAATATCGTTTACTTAAAAAAATTAGTTGTTATGGTTTTGTCAGCAGAATTAATTAATTTGTTACTTTAATGGTATGTAATATATATTGTTATCGAATTACTAGAATTTATAAATTTTTAGAATTCTGTAGTCGAAAAACTTTTTATTAATGTTAATAATAATTAATGTAAAATTAGAATAATTGAATTTATTTGAAAATTGAGAACTTCAAAAGAATTCTTGACATGTATAGGTAGCTTATATAAGACTTTTCGAAATGTAAATAATGTAAACTAAACACAATGAAAATATATGTAAAGTGCATTTGACCATGTTAATTTTTACCACTGTTTTTATTCTTCTAGTTATAAATAAAAACTATGTATTAAAAGACCAATAAACTTAATAACTACAATACGTAAAACATAAAAGTAAAGAAGCATTTTATAATAATCTAATTGTATCTGTAATTGTCGTCACATACTTAAATTGCATATCATATAACACAAAAATAATTGCGGTACTTAATATTTAAATAATAATTAATAATATTTATATTTAACCAATATTCTTACTCATAATTTTAATACTTGCTTATTTGTCAATAATAAGAAATTTTGTAAGTCGGTTTTTGAAGTAAATTTTTTTGAGACCATATCAATACTTTGATATTAAGGAAGAATCCCAATGTGAACAGTCAAAAAATCGATTTTTTTGCATTCTTTTATAGTTTAGGGAATTAAAATTAATATTCCATAGGTGGTTCAGGTGAAACGTCCCTGGTTCACTAGAAATAACTAATCAAAGTAGGGTTTGTAAGTGCGCGCGCTATGGACTCTAACAAATAAATCTACGAATGTGTAAATCACCGACTTTAATGAAAATTGGTAAACAAGTAGTACTCGGAAAAAGTAATAGAAACGGATTTTTTGTATAGCTGCAATCATCCACTTTAATGGGATAGTTTTTTTATTAAACATTTAATGAAAAATTAATTTAATTTAATTTAAGATGTCTTTTTTTTCTTATTTTCGAGATATTAATTAATTAATTTTAATAAAAAATTAAATATTTCACAACTAAATAAAGTTATTGCAATTCTGAAGCTACCAATTGAAAGCTGACGTAATTCCGCATCCAACGAGCCCTATACGAAATATTTAGATTAGAGAATTTTTTTTTACAACACTTTGCATCAAAAACTCGACTAAATCGCTGTCTTTTACGCACTAGTGCTTAAAAGGAGGAGAAATCGTACTTTTACGCACACTTTCCCCTTCCATCACAGCAATTTAATCGAGTTTTTGGCTCAAAATGTTATAAAAAATTATGTAACTAGTTTTAAGCAAATCGAAGCAATTTTTAAAAATTCGTCCGCAACATTCGATCCGCCATTTTGAATTTTAAAAAACGGATTTCATATTCTTTGTAAAAGTTCATAATTTTTTGCTACTTAAAATAAACCACTTACATGATAATATAGTTTATTGTTATAAAATACATTAATATTACTTCAATATAATAAAGAAGTAATTTTAAGATTAATTACACGCGTATTCTACTTATCATTGGCTTTGCCCCTGAGGAACCTTTTCTATATATACAAATAAAGTTTAAAATTCAAATATTTCTGGACGTAAACAATAGGTGTCTATTTAATTAAATTTAATAAGTCACCCGAAAGTGAGATGTTTTGGGAAATATTTAAATACGCTGGAAAATCGGAAGATGATCGCAGCGGGAAGGAGGAACAACCAAGCCTTTTCTTTTACTTTGGCCTAGCAGAGTTCCAGACGTCTCAACCAATCCGGAGGAGCGCGCCACTTCCAGTCCGCCAGCTTTAGTCGAGAGCAAGCCAACGAGTGTGAGCTGAGAGGGAGGTCCTTACCAATATACTACAGTTCCAGACAGGTGTTGTAAGTATAATGCATATCTCTTGGTACGCTGTCTAGGCTCGAGAGTATGTATCAAGTATTAACGGTGTACGCTGTCCAGGCTACCGTAACCTTTCTTCTCTCTCTCACTCTAATGCACGCCGCCTAGGCTATTGGAGTTTCAGTCTTGGTATTTTCTCTCGTTGAATGCCGGACTCTGTCTAATTCGCGTGGTAGGAATAGGACCTTCCTTTCCTTCTTTCCTTTTTATGCTAAATTCCTCCCTTTTCTCTTAATGTACGCTGTCTAGGCTGTTAAGAGAATCGTAAATGTTCCATTTTAGAGTTCCCTTTCTTTAAGAAATTCTTTTTTTAGATGCATATGATCTAGAGCATATGTGCATCTATTTAACATATGAATCTGAGGGACCAGCCAGCTAAGCCCCCACTTAAGGATTCATCATATACTTCTTCATGCAAGTTTAATTACACCTCTGCATCCATAATTTCGCTTACGTATATATATATATATACATGTGTGTGTGCATGTATATTAGGAGATTAAATTCTCAACTCTTTAGATTGCAGGTTCAATAATACCTCTGCATCCATTTTTCAACTAATCTTTATTGCAAGTTCAATTATACCTCTGCCAACTCTTTTTATTTTTTCTTTTTGATTTTCGTTTAAATATGTAAAAATGTAATGAATTCGATTTTTTTTGTAATTAGAGAAATTTAGTAATAATAATCTACTTAAATAACTATTGTGGTATGTGAGATATATAAAGGAACTGAATTCACTCTAACACTAGACACATTTAACACACAACATACAAGTACATTTGTAGCGTGAATGGTGAGTGCTATATTCAATAAAAAATATATATGTATCTCATATTCTTTGTATTTTATTCAAGAAAAAACTCCTTGTGCCTCAAATTAAAATTTTTAAATTTTATATAATATCAAATTGATAAAAACGAACCGTAACAATTGGCGCCCAACGTGGGGCACAAGGTTAAATAAAATACAAAAAAAGGGGAAAATGTCTACATCTACAGCCCCTCGCAGAGGAAGAAGACGTAAGCAGAAAGATGATACCAATTCTGAACCTCCACTTAATCTTGAAGAATTTTTCAATGCCACCATCACTAAGGAAAAGGAAGGGGAAGTTACGAAAAAACCAGAACGTGCTGAGGATTATATTATTTCTAAACATTTAAGTAGTTTTCCAATAATTCCAAACCTTTTGCCTGGACAATCCATTCAGGATGAATTAAATGCATATGACTCTAGCGAGTTCATGAAGGAGTTAAGAAAAATGGAATCCAACATGGAAGTGATGCAAAAAGAGCAGCGAAAATTCAACGAATGGTTTGATGCAATTGACAATAAAGTAGAGAATTCCAAGATCCAATTACGAGAAGAAATGGAAGACTTAGAAATAAGAGTGAACAGTGACATGCGAAAGGAAACCAACGATTTAAGACACACTACTAACACAAGAATATCGTCGATAGAAAAAATTGTTAAAAAAGCTATTGAAGTGGAACACAATAATCAAGCTAAATTGATTCACTTAGGTGAGGAACAAATGAAGAATTTACAAGAAAAACAAGATTCAATGGAGGAACGACTGAGGATCTTCGAAGAATGCTTTTACTCTCCAAACCACAGTCACTATGAAATCAGTCCACTTAGATTTAATTGTAAAAATCCATTATACGCGGAGGGATCGTCACCCATGAAATTTTTGGAAGAATTAAAAAATTATTGGCTGATCATTAAACCAACAAAATTAGATGTACCTTATACGCTAAATAACTGCTTAAAAGGAGCAGCAAAGGATTGGTGGGATCTAGTTAAAGCGCCCGACGATGGATTACAAGAATTCATGGATAAATTTAAAAGAAGATACTGGGGAGACAACATCCAACACGAAATTAGAACTAGACTAGAATTTGGACACTATCGTTCTTCAGAAGATTCTTCTATGACCAGTTATACCCTTGAATTATTTAGAGAAGTTAAGTATTTAGACCCACCTCTATCTATATTAGAAACCATAAGGAAATTATCCCGACATTTCAATGATGATGTGAGAAATTGCGTATTGAGTAGATCCATAAATAATCTACAAGATTTTTTAGAAATCATTGAAACCTTTGATAAGGCAGGACCCATCAATTCTAAAAGAAGAGATAATCCAGAACATAAAACCAACCCGGAGAATTGGAGGAGTCGGAAAGCTGAACCGGACAAAACCCCTGCATTAAAGAGGGGCTCGAGACAAGAAAATTGGAGGAGTAATGACAGAATCAAACCTAATCCTAATAAAAATACAAGAAAAATTCAAAGTATTGAATTGGAAGAAGAAAAAGAAGAAGTATCTCTTACCGATCAGGAAAACTGAACCATCCCGTGCCACAAAATTCCTCCACGAAAAATGTGTGCACGGGGCAAACCGAGTTTATAATTAATACTTTTAAATGGAGAGAGGAATTCCTAGAAGAAAATATAAAAACTAAAATAAGAGCAAGATGTCCTAAAATAAAAATCCTTATACAAGAAACCTCTATTGATGCGCTTGTGGATAGTGGTAGCCAGATCTAATGCATCTCCGAAGAATTTATAAAAAGAAATACATCTAAATTTAAATCATGTCAAATTTTGCCATTGGTTAATGTTAGTGCCGTGGGTGCTACCGGCGGTAGACCCATCAAAATAAAGCAACAAATATACACTAAATTAAAAATAGGAGATCATACTTTTGATCAAATCTTATTCATCATACCAAATCTGACTCAAGAATGTATTTTAGGAATTGACTTTTTAAAGGAACAAAAAAGCACAATAAATCTCGACACTGATGCTATAACACTTTCCAAGGATAACATTGAGATACCCATTCCATTAATTATAGATGATGCAGATGAGGAAGAAGAAATGATGCTGGAACCCAAGAAGATAAATTCATTAATCCATGGAGATGAGATGAAACTTACTAAGGACGCTGTCACCTCTATAATAGATGAAAATCCCCTTATTCATCCAGACATGCGTCAAAACTATAAGAACTTAATATGGAAATATAAGGATATATTCAATAAAAAACCTGGTAGAATATCCTGCTATCATCATAAGCTAAAAATTAAAGAAGGAGAAATACTAAAATCACGATCCTATCCCTTACCAATTAAATATGAAAAGGAAACAGGGGAAGGACTACAACAAATGATTGATTGGAATATCATCAGTCGTGCAGATAGTTCTATTGTCAACCCCTTAGTACCAGTATTCAAAAAGGATGGAAAAATACGACTTTGTTTAGATGCAAGAAATCTTAATTCGGCTTTAGAAGAGGACCATGAAGGAACTGAGAAAATTGAAACTTTATTACAACGTTGCAGTGGTAAAAAATATTTTTCACACTTAGATTTGAATATGAGCTTTTGGCAAATTCCATTATCAGAAGAATCC